CACAGATTGCAGGTGTTTGAGAATCGGGTGTTGAGGAGGATATTTGGGCCTAAGAGGGAAGACGATGGGGCGTGGAGAAAACTGCATAATGATGAGCTTAAAAATCTGTACTCCTCCCCCAGTATTGTCAGGGTGATTAAGTCGAGAAGAATGAGATGGACGGGGCATGTAGTACGCATGGATGGGACAAGACGTATGTACCAGGTATTGGTTTAGAAACCTGAAGGGAAGAGACCGATGGGGAGACCTAGACGTAGATGTGAGGATAATGTCAGGCGGGATCTATGGGAGATAGGAGTTGAAGGAGACTGGATTTTGTTTTATATTTTGAGCAAAATTAGCATCTAATTATTATTAAATAATTGTACGCCGACTTCAGCTCGATCTTTATCAGGTTCAGCATTTATTTTGGTTGAACTGAATATCACAAGGTGCATAATCTTGGGTGCTTAAGTAGAAATATTTAAATTCACAACTAGACCCAGAGCGTTACTGGCACTTGCATCATATACAGTTCAGTCTGTGCTTTATGACGTTTAAAACTACTCATCTGAAAAGTGTTTGTCTGCTCCCTTCCAGGGGGCTACCTTATACCAGCTGGCTGCATGATAAATCTTCAGATCTTCCATGTGCACCGAAATCCTGATGAGTACCCCAACCCTGAAGACTTTGACCCCGACAACTTCCTGCCGGAGAGGGTAGCAAAGAGACACCCCTACGCCTACACCCCCTTCAGTCCCGGTCCCAGGAACTGCATAGGGCAGAAGTTCGCCCTGCTGGAGGAGAAGACGGTGCTGTCAAGTATCCTGCGACATTTCAAGGTCCATGCAGTGGAGAAACTTCACGCTGATGAATGAACTTAAACTGAGACCAGAAAGCGGAATCAGAGTGCAACTGTCACCACGGATTATTCCCACTTGTTAAAGTAACTACCACTTACTTCGGGCAGAGAAAAAAGTACACTTCTTCTTATGCAAGCCTTACCCATTATGCTACGTGCCAGAACAGAGAGATTATATGAATTCCTTCATATTTTTACAATTCTGATGAACATAACCAACATCATGTCTGATAACACATTGCAGTCACTAACTTCATGAAATGAATGGTAAGAATTTCACAAACTTTTCAGTACTAAGATTCTCCTGTTTGATCCACATATTTATCTGCTGGTTTCATAGAGTACAGAAACACTAACATCTGCTTACACAACAATTCTTGGCAAATGGATTTCTTGTAGGAGGTATTTTGGCCTCCTTCTATAATAAAGTTTTAATTCTTATAAATGTAAATAGTATTATTACATAGAGTGCAAATAAAGCACTTTATTTGTCTAATGAATAAATATGTAGTCAAAGAAACTGTATGTAATATAAGTAATTTTAAAATATATTTCTATATTTTTACATTTAACATATCATGTCAATTAAAGTAAATATTATGCATATTAATGATTATTCTAACCAGTACCCTTGTCGTCCTCGCTGGACTAGTGGTTAGCGCGCTCAACACTGGACCCAAGGTTTGCAGGTTCAAACCTGGCTGAAGTCGACGGATTTTTTAAGGGTGATAAAAATCAGTAACACAACTTCCTTCGGGGCGGAAGTGAAGCCGGCGGTCCCAGGTTGTAGATTTACGGCATGTAAAAGAACCTTGCGATCATGAATGAGATGAAAGTTGGACTTAACTGGCTCATGAAAGACTTTTGTTAGCAAAGATAAACATTCACATTTATATCACAAGATGAATTTCCATATTGTCTTTGATTTCTGTATCAATCTGATTGTTATTTCTACCTCAGAATTAAAGAATTAACACAAACCAGTTTGTCGTTTCCTCTTCGGGATACATCTCGATGCTGTCGCCAGTTGAAAAAAAGGTCACTGACCAGTTCGCATTCCCCGTCTTTCTCGCGTGAACCGTGGCTGGTATTTTTCACAAGTGGACACCCACTGCTCTTCACACCTTATGCAACTGTCAAAACATCGAGGAAATCAAATTCTGAAATTGAAAACTATACTTTAATGTAACTTAACTGATGGTAGCAACATTGTATTTTTTTAAAACCTTCAGTTCAACATGGCTGTCATTTGACTTGTTGCACCACGTAGTCCGGTAGTTTACGGACAATTCAGAAGTGCTTGCTGCCTCCATAATCAGGGTGATGACCCACCACTCACTGGAGAAGGAAGTAAGCACCCGTGAAATGTCAGGGATTGCACCCTGGTCATCTAGCCCATTGGCCAACAATACACTACTCTTCATAAGCAATGGCCACGTCTACCATAATTGGAATATTTAACATGTCAACTACCGTCAGTAACCTTCATATAATCCTCTCCAGAGAAACACCAATGAATAAAACACATGGATCAACTGTTTTACCTTTCACTCTACCCGTGCGTGAAGCACGGAATTAGAAGACACATGGTTGCACCTGGTGACTCATCAGGGAATCAAATTAATATAAAACTTAACCCTGTATGGTAGATAAGCAAAATAAAATAGTAAAACAGAATGTTCCATGCTGTTAAACTGCACACTGCAGTGGTCACTTACACAAATTGGGCTGATTGTGGGTTAAACTACAACTTACATTTCTTCGACAGTGGATGAGCCATCGTTGGATGATACAAGACGCGTTTCGCCACGTTTACCAGATCCTCCCCTTTTAGTTGATTGCATCAGGATATGACTAGGTGAGTGAGAAACTGTATTTTGACTTATACTTTTAAAAATTTATCTTCAACACTTAAAATAAATATACAGAAATATACACCATGTTTTTTTCTTCACGTTACAAAAAGTACCACAATAAAAAATATAACTCTGATAACAGTCATCTTAATAAAACACTGAAATGCAATTAGCAGAGGGTTTTGTTACGTAATAATCTTTCAAGGCACAATATTGGCAGGCTGTATCACAATTCACTGTTTATTCATACGTATGACAGCTCCTAAACACAAAGCTTAGCACGAGACAAATTATGAAACGCGTCCCAGGGATCTACTGTCCGCGTAAACACCTGATATATCTCTCCTGCTACTATCCTGGCATCAAGATGAATCCAGTCCACACCCTCACATACTATTCCTTTGAGATCAATCTTAATGTTATCCTTCCATCTATATCTATAAATGTCTCCCAAGCTCTTCCCTTCAGGTTTTCCAATAACCCTTTGCATTTCTCAACTATTTCATGCATAATAAATGCCCTGACAACTTAATCTACCTTTACTTGATCACCCTAAGAATATGTTTGGCATTCAATTTAAACATATTAATCATCACGTACCCTGAAAGAGTGACAAAAGCCACAGGAAACCTCTATTACAGTGGCAAAGACTTTAACTTGGTGAATACACGTGCTAACTTGTTCAGCCTGCATCAGTTGAGTTACGAAATGAATGAAGTCACAAGTCATCTCATTTATGAACCCACACAGTCATGCTGATGGTCACCAATGACATCTCAGAGGAAACCCACACAGTCATGCTAATGGTCACCAATGACATCTCAGAGGAAAGTATCACCTTCATACTTTACTCGGAACATGAAGGCAATAGATTCTTATAACTTGGTAACCATCTTCAGGACTACATGGCACTAAAATCCTCAACTTATTCTTCTTGATGCCAAACTGTGGTGAGCTGGTTTGTCAATATTTTGTCAAAATTGCTGAATCCATCTTCAAGGCAAAATTACCAAGAAGCACCTGGCGCCAATGAGTAGTTTCAGGACATGAGGCTGTGAGAAATTTCACATTCTGATTGGTGCATGCGTCTCTAAGAGAAAATCAGATCATAAGTTTCTTCGTAAGGTGAATATTTGCAACATATTCTTATGAAGAAATTTAAGATGGACAACATAGTGAAAAGCACTTTATTAATGTCATCTTACAGACAGAAATTCGCCAGAGTGTGGAATTCCCTGTTGCCTCAAAGACTTGAATAATAATTATCAATAAAACCACCTCAGAAAAATGCATCATTCCCACCCAAGAATTCAAATCAGGCCAGTTTCAAGCCTCTGTACAAAGCCTGAAGACTGCTAACACAGACAGAGCTTTTAGGTACACAAACATCGTCTTCCTTGTAAGACATTCCCAATTTATGTGGAAAAATTACAGTAATATCGATTTTTAGAAAAAATATGAAAATGTGCATTACTTTATACAGACATTTCCTGGTCAGTTAATGAAATATCTACAAATGAATGTTTCCTTTTGGGAAAATATCAGATGGAATAAAGAATAACATTAATGAAATATCTACAAATAAATGTTTCCTTTTGAGAAAATATCAGATGGAATAAAGAATAACTGTAATGGCACTTGAAGAAACTTACCACATCGCACAGAATAAAAAGACATTTCAACGTACTCATCTACTTTTGTCACATTCTTCCTTGATGGAATCACTTCTGCATCACAGTTTTTGAAGTGGAATGAAAATTTCACAAATAACACGTATTATTTGTACAATATCAGATCACTGTCACGTTACATTCCAAAAATATATGATGGATGTTTCTGCAAAACTACATTTGCATTGTATTCGTTCATTATAGAACTGTACCTACGAGAAACAACAGTTATCATTAAACCAATGTTTCAGAAACAAACGTATTCATTACCAACGAAAACTGTTTCTGCTCACAAGTGAGAGCACTCTCTGAACACCAAATTTCTGAATTTCTGGCTCGCTAAACAACCCTTCTTTCCCTCCAACCAGTACAGAAATAAGTTGGAATGATACATGATGAAGTTGACCAACTGGCAAAAACTTTCCTGTTGTACTTCTGCAACAGAATAGCAATTTATTTTGAAAAATATTTAAATAATTTATGTATTTTCTCGAAGGAAATGCAAATAAACTCATGATCCACTTCACTTCATTCAAGTTATTTTCTTTATGAAGCAACTTGCTTCAAAAATTAAGAAATGTTTAGATTATGTGATATCAAATGGGGCAATATTTGGCGGATCATGAACTGAGTACAACGTGGAAGGATATGGTGACAGGACAATTTATTTTGAATTCCCGAAAATACCTGAAACGACTAAGAAAAACCACAAATACTTTAATGAAAATAGTCAGTGGTATCCTCCAAATATAAAGTAATGCCATTTGGTGGTATCATTAGATATGGACGTTCAGCATAATTCAAAATTGCATAATTAGGCACAGAGGATACATGCACAATGAACAGTATACCATAACCCGTGGGACTGAAGAAAACTATAAAAATACGTCAGGATACCCAGTCTCTGGGATACGATTCGTACCCAAGATCTCCGAAATATGAAGAACTACAATGTTTGTTACACAACAAATATCATTCACATCTGCCTTAAAAAATGTATGGGCAACTGAATGTGACGATCACATACTTTCTAAATGAAATGGGTAAACATGGGTCAGGACGACACGTGAGAAGTCTTTTTGTCACAAAGTACAGGAACAATCATGTTATTTGAATCAGACAGTATGGAAAATCAGTGATTCTGCTAGTATAACCAACATTAGGAACATATAAACTTTGAACTTGCAAATATGGAACATACACTGGCCTATTACAACTAACATTTTCCAAATGTATCTATATCCTCCAGGAATAAGCTGAACTACATTCCTACATAATTCACAAGACAAGAATGTGTGCCTACACATAACAATATACTACCATAATTTTTTTTCCCAAAAAATAGTGCATAGTTCTTTCCTGTTAATAACCCCTGAGAAATTTCTTGTGCATTGCACCTCCACACGTTCAATGATGTTAGGTATTCCCTATCAGCTACGAATAAAATGTTTTTTACTAAACTAGTCTGTTTTATATAAGACTTGAGGTTCTCACAGCGGTGAATATGAAGAATTCTGTCTTCTGGGTTATTGCGCTGTGTAGTCTGGTCGATGTTAACCAACGTTTCAGAGGTCATACTGCCTCCGTCATCAGGGCGATGACGGAGGCAGTATGACCTCTGAAACGTTGGTTAACATCGACCAGACTACACAGCGCAATAACCCAGAAGACAGAATTCTTCTAGTCTGTTTTATTCAATGATACGTATAACCACGTAAGATTTCTGAAAAGATATCAAAACGTTTACTATATTCAGAAAATATTCAATAAAATGTGTATAACCGAAGTGTAACACATTTTTTTGTTTTGTTTCTAAACTTAACTTTTCAAATTGGGGATGCACATTATTATATTTGGAGAAATAAGTGCGCTCTAAGATAATCAATACCGCAAGCTGAACGACAAGGCAACTGGAAAAGTAAATAACAAAATACAAATAAGAAAACATCATAACAAATACTAAGATTTGAAAAGTCCTGAATATTATTATTACAAATTCATTCTACGTTCAGAAATGGCAGGTTCTGAGATAAGAAATCTGGCATCATGTTTGGATTCTTATCTATATGTAAGGGATGAATAGCACTGGTGAGTGATGAACTAGGATGGATGTCTTTGAGTGGATACAGGCAAGGGTGCCAACGTCAAATCTGCGGGAGTTCCTTCAACAGCCACGCTAGCATCTTGGGGCTGTAATGAAATGGTGCAACTGGGATGGATACCTGTTTCAGAAATACTTACGTCCACAGCACCGACAGACGGTGCTGAAACTGAAGTGCCCGTGGGGATGCTGTCAATGTCAGAACGTGAAGACTGAACTGAACTTGGAATAGTAAGAGTAGAAATAGTTTCAGAATCATTTGTGATGCCAGATATATTTTGGCACAGGGGATGAATAAGATCAACAGTGTCATAAGAAATGCCAGATCCCACAGATGCACTTGAATTTGGAACGATATAAGCAGAAATGGACGAATCATGGTTTGCGCCTGCAGAAGATATGGCAGCACGTACATTGCGCACGGAAGCTGTAACAGAGACGGACGTGACGTGACTGCTGGCACAGGTATCTCTGAGACGGATGTCGGTGTGAGATTGCAGAACAGAATCTGGAACCGACAGCTGAGAAATCGAAGAATCTGTTTTTGTTCCGTCAGTGGAAATGTCAGTGCATGATGAATGAATGGAATTTGGAACACAAAAAGAAGTTATTACAGAATTACGGTTGGCACTTTCAACATTTATACTTGCATACGAGGGTGTCGTAGAATTTGATATCGATAACATAGAGTCCAGATGGGAACCATCAGTAGATGCACTGGGAAATGGAAATGAGACAGTGGGTGTTGAGACAGCATGATGAGGTTGTGTACTACTGTCAGTTACATTTGCTGGAAAAGGAATTGAGGTCACAGTTATGGCATCCAAATCGTCATTGCATTGTGATGGGACATGGTGTAGAGATTGTAAAGCTGAGGACCTCAACTTTGGTCCACACATAAGACGTTCTCTTAGCAGAGAACTGGAGGTAAGAAGACCGTCAGACAAGACTGTGCAGTCTTTTGACACTGGCAGCCGTTCAGGACATAACTGCAATACTGACTCAACTGAATTTGGCAAGTTTGGCAAAGTGACAGCTGAGCTAGCAGTCATCCCGACCTGCGTCTGCAACGCCCCATCATCGAGTGCAGAGAAGTTTTCTAAGGTAATGTGCCGTGCTGGCTCTATGCTGTCTAATAACATCGCCTCCTCAAGACCTTCGAGTTTTCCTTCTTCAATGAAGATGGTGTCAGGGAGTTTTGAAGCATCATGTGGATCCAGCAACTGCACTTTTCCATTCAAATTACCAGTAGGATGTACTTCTGACACCGTTAGCACTGTCGAGTGCTCATCAAGAGACATAGTGATCGGTGTTGCAAAGACTAATTGAGGTTCAGAACTAGACAACACAGTTGTTAAGGTCTGTGAAGTTGGGAAGGTTAAGTCATAGGTCACTTCAATTGTTTGCAACACTTCTCCAGACTGAAATGAATCTAACGTGGTGCCATCTGTACATGTAACAATAGTAGCCAGTGTGTCATCAGGCGGTAAGGTCAGCACTTCGGCCGTCGATAAGTTACCGGTCGTAGTCAGAATCTGGGCTTCTGACACAGTACACAGCTCCTGCAGTGTTATTACTTTGCCTGAATCTGCATCAACCAAAGACAAAACTGGATTTGTAAAAACAGATGCTTTAGAAGTAGTAGCAGATTGAGATGTAGCAGCAGAGGTCCAGAGATGATCTTGGGGCACTACAGAGGTTTCTTCCTTCATTCCGCCACTTGACGATTTAGACTCATCGACAACACGAACTAACGCACATGTTTCGTCACGCCCGAGTCTCTGTAATCTCCTGGGTTTGAAGATGGCCCCATGTATAGATTCCTCATGCCTTCTGAGGTGCGACGCACGTTTGTATGCCTGGGTACAATATTGACACTTGAATGGTCGCATATCAGAGTGACTACGAATGTGCCTTCTCAGGTCATTCTGTAATTTGAATGTCTTCTTGCATGTGGTGCAACAGAAGTTTCGGTACTCTGAGTGGACAGAATTACAGTGGTCTTTGAGAGTTGTTAATGCATGAAATGCTGCCCCACATTGGTCACAGACAAAGCGACACCTCTCAGTGTGCAAGGCGAGATGTCGTGTCATGTTGGCCCTACTATTAGAGGAGTGCTCACAGTAATTGCACTTGTAGGAGCGTGTAGCACCATGCAGTTGATTCATGTGCTCCACCAGATGGTTTGCCTGTGAGAAGGATCTGTCGCACTGCTCACACTTGTGCGTTTTATTCGGGTCATCCTCGGCCACCTCATGGCAAGTCGACCGGATATGCTGATTATAATCTTCAGCAGTCTGGAAGCCACTTTTACACACTAGGCAGGTATAAGCTTCTTCACCTGAGAACAAAACATTACAGATTTGATATTTATATTTTGCAACAACTGTTCTGATATTTCAGACATATTTTAGCACTGTGACCAAAGTGAAAATGAATTAAATTCACTGTTAAAGTTCCAATCTAAGAATGATAAAACACAGCCGGGATGTAACAGCGAACTACAGCGAATATAAAAATTAATGAAAGATTATGTAATTTAGTAACTTGCAATGTTTCCAACATTGCAAATAACTTAACTTGAGACAAAGCACCCTAAAGCAGTGTTTCTTAACGTGCACCACGTGGCAGCACAATATAATATGCACTGTAATTCAATATCCCATGGCAAATTAAGCCATGTACTACTGTAAACTCTGCGTATTGCATTAAATATGTTAATATTATTCTCCATTCTTCATCACATTTTTTAAAATAACATACCAGTAATGCTTTTCATAATCCTATTGTGTACAATACCAATAATGAGTGCATTTGCACTTACTGTTTAAAAATATATGATGAGACATTACATAATACAATGTTATTTATGTTTATCTGGAAGTGCGACCATTACCACAGTTGCAAGACTTGAGGTTCTCACAGCGGTGAGTATGAAGATATCCGTCTTCTGGGTTATTGCGCTGTGTAGTCTGGTCGATGTTAACCAACGTTTCAGAGGTGAATCGCCCTGATGACGGAGGCAGTATGACCTCTGAAACGTTGGTTAACATCGACCAGACTACACAGCGCAATAACCCAGAAGACGGATATCTTCATTACCACAGTTCATGATTTCTTTGAGATGTACACAAAATCTGAGTCAGGAAACCTGAACGAAAGGGACAAGACTAGAGACCAAGACATGGGTGGGAGAATAATATTAAAATGGGTCTTACTGGATTCATCTAGTTCAGGACAGGGTTCCTCTGGGGGATTATCTGAGCAGTTAGACTGTGTAGGTGGTTTCTTGCCTGTGTGGGCCTTCAGATGCAGCGTAAGCTGCCCCTGACGAGAGAAAACCTTGCCACACTCAGGACACTCATATTGACTCTCTTTACCAGACTGATTCTGACACACTCTTGAGTGTTCCTGGAGTGTAGCCTTGGCAGCAAACCCCACATTGCACGTTTTACACTGGTACTTCTCATGACTCTGAAACCAGAGATTAACAATATCGCTATGACATTCCCAGAACAATGACACTCAGTACACATACAAGGTGACAAAGGAAGACACCGGTATACAGCACATGTGAGTTTAACTTAAGATTAGGTACTGCTATGCTCCTATATAATGGGTACCGTGGGTTTGCTCTCCAGGGTTAAAGTGGCCAGGGCATGAAGCCGATCACTCACATCTAGGTTAAGTATGCATCAAGCCATATCTCCTCTTGCTCATATGTCTATATAGCATGGAGCTTAGACTAGAGATTCCATTACAGCTAATACGGAGGGATGCGAGCTATGGTCTTCTCCACTCGAGCGAGTGCCGTGCAACTAAAGGCTACGGCTCACATACAACAAAACTACTGTACCCTAGTTCCAGGCATGGTAATCTCTCTATTCTGCTAGTTACGTAGTTCTGCCAACAACACTGTTTGCAGAGAAGTTCGTAACTAACTGCAACTGCTCTTTGATATTATTTTCTACGTACTGGAGGAGAGAAAAGGAAACAGGGAAGGGCTGGAGCAGGAGACCACAGGAGGGGGAAGGGGGGTATGGAATGGATTCATCTGGCTCAAGACAGGGTTCTGTTACAGGGTCTTGTAAACATGGTAATGAACCTGATCAAGTGTAATCTTTTCTTGAATGATTCTTCTCCATGGAATTAGTCAGAGGAGTGAGGCGTGGAATAAATATGGGGGTAATCGTGCTGATACAGTTTTCCCAACATACCTCCATGTGTACCACATACTGCTGTCGACGTGAGAAGGTTGTCCCACATCTTGTACATTTCCACGGCCTTTCTAGCTCATGCCTCTCCTTATGAGTCTCAAACTCCGCCTTACTGTCCAGAAATAATCCGCAGCTCTGACATACAAACTTCCCATTTGCATGCTGATTGTAGTGATTAAACAAGGTCACCTGCTTCACAAAACACCTTTCACAAAATTGACACTGATACTTTGACTTCTGCAGCTTCATTTTGTGTTCTTGTGCCATGTGAAGTGTTACTTCCTTTCGCGTTGTGAACCGAGCATCACAGTACTGACAATTATTCCGTCTGTGACCATCAACATGTTTGTTGAGGTGTCTGCGATTGGGAAAAGTCTGTGGGCATTGTGGGCACTGTCGCAATTGTCCTACACACTTGTTACTCTTCTTACATAATTCAGAAACTAAATGACAATCATATGAAAATTTATTCTTGAAACTTGAATGACATGTTATGCAAGAAAGTGGAAATCCTTTATGTTTGTCAACATGAGACAAAAGGCTACTCTTATTACCAGAAACCACTTCACACACAGGACATTTAAACAAATCTTCCATGTTGGACATTAAATGTCTGCAAGTTTTATCCTAGTGACAAGTTTCTTTCTATTGTTATCGTTAAACGTCATTCTTGTATCACAAATTGTAAATATAACCAAATGAACAACACTGTGACAGGCTACCGGTTGTATCCAATATATAAGAAATGCATCAACCTTTAAACAAGGATTTCTAGAAACTATCCGGTTCAGAACACGACATCCATATGAAAACGGTAATCCTGATGAAGATAAGACTATAATGTTTAAAAACGACACAACGAATCTTCGGCATAATAGTCACTCTAACCTTCAAGTCAAACCAAGTGAAATTTCAGAGATTCGATAGAATTTTCTACACATATATATATTTAACACGAAACACTATAAATTATACTCATAGTCAGTTCAATCTGTTATATAAAATACATTATTTTGAATGAATTATTAAACCAATAACAAAATACTATAACGTACAGCGTTACAGGTGAACTCCACTATGTTGGCAACCATGACGCATTGGGCTATTTATAATAATATATGGGTGGTCATAGCTAATGCGATCTATAGTCGTAGCCATCATGATATTCTTTAATCCCTTGTTCTGTACATGTACATTTTCCGTAATTGCCTGAATTTCTTCATCCAACATTTTAAATAATTCCAGTCTCGCCAGACGCTCTATGTGCAAGTGAGGTGGGGCAATCTCCCATCTTCAAGAAAGGCGCTTGTTTATATGACGGTTTAATCTGTGGCACAGAAAGCCAGCCACCGACCGCTCCATATCCACGAAATCTTATAGAGCGGCTGTGGAGCCATTAAAATGGGTATAACTGTGTATTGCCCCTTCAGCATGTTTGACAGGATCAGCCAACTGGCAATTTTTGCCAAGTCAATTGGATGATAATGTCAGCAAAGTGGCTGTTTTAACCATGTAAAAATGGCCAACAGGGATGGCCAAATCAAAATGGCTAACAGTGTAATTCAAGTTAAAGTGGCTAAAAGTATTACTCAAGAGAATATGAATAACATTGGTCACCAGTTCAAAACGACTGACAGTCTAAGCCGACTCGAAATGCCACGTTAAAATGGCTAACATATAGCAAACAAACACTTTTTGCCATTTTGAATTTGCCAACACTGTTAGCCCTGTTAATCTGGCTGACACCTAGCATCATTTACCTGGCCAAACCTTTCATTTATTTTATCTTGTCTAACACTCTTAGCCAATCCAGAGTGGTAAACACTATTAATGTGGTGATATGGCTGACGCTGTTCTGACATGACTACTTCCATTATCGGTCTCTGGTTCTAGTCTGTTAAGTGATGGTAAAATAATGAATAGAGGCCTATAATTTATTTTGCTCAAACATTCTGAGCTGTTCATTAATTGAACATCTTTTTGTGACCACACCCTGAGCTCTGTTTCCATGGCAACTCTTTGGGTGGGGTTCAATCTAGAACATGCCATATCAATAGGATTCTAATTCTTGATACTTATGTTACAATATAGCAGGTACTGAATGTCTAAGCAGTATGACATGAGGACATTTATGGAATGTAGAATTAAAAATCCACACATTCTTAATTTAAACTTCATATAAATGTAACTTCATATTCTGGCCACTCTGACCCAGTTAAAACACAAATGAAAAGTCAAAAACATGTCAGACAGACAAACAGGCATGGAAAAAAAAAAGTCTTTTAAGTAATGAATGATTATAGAGATGTATCTGATGAGTGTAATTAATTTATTGATCTCCCTGTAGACCTTTCATAACAGAAGCCCTGTAATGTGGGGTTCTATTACTTGGACTATTGCATATCAGAGTGCCCAGGGATGGGAAACAAGGTGGTCACGTTCACTGAGGAACAGTTTGAAGACTATCAGGTCGGTGGCACACACACAAATACACACAGAATCCAAGTGGCAAACCTTTTCCGACTTTAATTAATAAGTTTTAAATTAGGACTCTGATGGAAGAGGAACTCTGGTGATAGGAATGGGAAATTACAAAATATAAGACCACAACTGTCTTATGGGTTGTTGCGCCGTGTAGTCTGGTGGAAGTGGATTGATGTTCCAAAGGTGCTTACTGCCTCCACCATCAGGGTGATGAGTAAGACACAAGATACTGAATCTTTGCAATAGCATGTATTTTTACAGAATGTTTTGTTATGATGTGAGCGTGTGGATTGATGTGGTTCAGGATATGCTTTTGCCGTGTTGGTGATGGGCACCTGGGTTTCCTTAAAAACATGGAATTAAGTGGGTTCCAGAAGTGGTATTGATCTGGCTCTGTATTCTGGCGTCACATGGCTACTGGCAATCTTGACTGAGTTCTTTGTTGTTTCTTCAGTGTCTTGAAGCAAATTCAGCCATACTTAACACTTTCTGAGAGGCTAAGACCTTGACTACTCACAATTCATGATGTGTTCAATACATTCAATATTTTATAAGCTATGAAATTAAGAGAGTGTCATTAAATAATTTAAGGATAAACAACAAAGAATTACTTTGAATGTGTATCAAGTGCTCAGGTAATAATGTGTACCGGGAAGTTTACTTTTGGGTTTAGGCCCATTAATATTCCAGTTTCACCTGCTCTGTTTGTTATTTTAAAGATATTCTCTGCAAATTACAGCTGTTTTTTTTTATTTCTGCACAATAACTTAACATTTGATATGTTAACCTGAACATCGTTTGTTCCAGGACTGCACTTTCTTCACAAGGAAGGAAATTCTCAGGTAAAATAATGACTCAAGAAATGGTTCTATTCTTTCCTTACTTTTCTTCTTAGTGTTTTCATAGGTTAGGCAATTCAATGCCTGTTCCATGAACTCGTGCGAAGGAAAGATTTGATCTCTCACTCTAAGAGAATTATAAAAGTTAAAGGTATTTGAATACAAAGCTGAGGTGAATACATGGAGGATTATACTCCAGATTAAGTATGTGGTAACGGAATATAATTACATAATAGTAAAAACACATAACTTATGATTTTTCTAGTATTGTCAAGGGATTAATATCAACTGGTCATGCTAGTGTAAACATGTAGTTTGAATCAGGAATACATTACAAGAAATAATGAATATTTGATCTGACACGGTGTTCTGGAACAAAATTTGTACTTCATGTAGGATTTGAGGTTTTCACGGGGGTGAGTCTGAAGATGGCAAAAACCCAGAAGACAGCCACCCTCTTTGTACTTCATATTGTTGCCTCTTCAGAAGGATATATTGGCTCGTTGCATGCGTAGGGTACACAAGAGGTTCCGAGAAGTGAGTCCTGACCTTGTTCCAAAGAGTATGACAGGAAACGAACCAGTGACTGTCAGGGTGCCACTGGAGAAAATGGAGAAGCTCCCAGAGCTGCGGGTAAGGAATTCTCACCTTCTTCTGGCAGAAATTTATATCTCTTTGACATTTAGATAAGTAAAGATTCTGAAACGACTGTCTGTGTACAGGAGAATCCATTCAGGCAGAGGATTTGTCAGGTCTTCTCACGAGATGGAAAAGGCAACCTTACATTCGAGGACTTCTTGGACTTGTTGTCAGTGTTCAGTGAGCAAGCCCCAAGGGACATCAAAGTCTTCTATGCCTTTAAGATATATGGTGAGAAAACTGTTCTCTTGTCGCCATCATCTGCTGTTGGACTCAGAATGTCCGACTGGTTTAATGATCGCACGAATCACTTGAATGTCTTGATAATTAACTGACTAATTTACCATCTAACTAAATGACTGCTGTATTCTGGATTGTAGCTCCATCCTGATGATGGAGGCAGCAAGGACCTCTGAAACGTTGCTAAACTTCTACCACAACACATGGCGCTACAATCCAGAAGACAGCCATCTTTGTAGAACCTCAAACCCTACTAACTGAATAATTCCATGTATTCCTAGGTCTTCATACTGGTGTCTTCCCAAGAGGTTCTCAACCAAAAATCCTTGTTTCCTCTATTCCCGCTACATTTCCAGTCTATCTCATCCGCTTTAAATTGATCATACTAACAATATGAAGTGAGTCCACATGAGTTATGAAGTTCTTCAATTAATAATATGGTCCATTAAGCTGATAATTTGTAGTTGGTATAGAACTGTTATCTATTTCTATGCTAAATATGATATTAAAAGGATTTATTTAGCTGAAAACATGCAATTTTAATTTTTTGAAAGATGGAAGCTGATGGTTTGATTTGTTGCGAGAAGACAGCAGAGGTTACTTCTGGTTTGCAGTGACACATGATGGGACGAAAAGAGTCCAATTTATGGAATGGAAAGGATTAAATATGGCATTAGTCAACTTTTGATTTAGACTTTGATGGGGATCATCACATTGGAGCACAGGACCTGGAGCAGAGCGTACGTCTACTCACCCGTAATGAGCTGACTCCTGAGGAGGTGGCTCAGGTCTGCGAGAAAGTCATAGAGGAATCGGATGTGGACGGAGATGGCAAGCTGTCCTTCATGGAGTTTGAACATGTCATCACACGAGCACCAGACTTCCTGTCAACCTTCCACATTCGCATCTAAGCTGAAATGCAACGCAGAAATCACAGAGTTACTCATTACAGGCTGTCTTGCCAGATGTTTGATCATGTACACCACTAAAATTAAATCGTTCTGTAAAACTCATATGGTGTTGTTAATCTCAAAAAATATGTCTGTTCATTAAATCACTTTTGAAAAAAACATCGCTTACAAACTTGTTTATGTACGTACATTTTTCTTTTCATGTTTACGACTGCAGCAGTTGGTAGTGTATTCTTGTAGCTGGTTTGTGGTGACAAAGTAACACACAAGTTGAAGTTACTGTGTATATAAACAATACAAGTTATAAAACACAGTGACATAATAGCATGCATGGAAGAGATGAGAAAAGAATATGCAAAATATTTGACTATCAGAAAAAACAGACAGATTCCAGGAACTAAAACTGGAAGATGAAGATTTTACTGAATCATACATGGAATATATGAAGTGATGAGGTGAATGAATTTAATTTAAGAAAAAGATGCCTTCCTTTGTTTATTTAACTCTGTAATACTTCATAATTTTCACTGGTAAAAAATCCACTAATTGTTATTAGCTCTGACTATCAACAAATGACTGATGAATTCTTTTTAGTTATATTATCAAGCAGGAGTCTTTTGTAGTTGAAGTTTACAGCATAAATTTTGCTTTTGCTGGCTTTCACATTGAATGTCGAAGGTTTTCTAATGTTTGCCAAAACAATAAAATACATTCAACATCTGATGCAGCTTATCGCACAAAGCCAAAGTTACGCAGTGAAAATCAAACATATTCAGAAAAGAGGAGGTTGGTGTTTTTGAACAAGTTATGTTGCTCGTCACATGGAAATTGCCAATATTTGTGATCCGACACTGGGATGGCAGGCGGGGTACGCTGGGGACAGAATAACAAAGTATCACATATCCATCTGTTTATTTTAATATGCGTATCATCATAGAATGTTTACGTCAATTCTTATTTTGCTTCAGGCTCCCCATTTTCATGTATCAAGACAATTATTTATATTTATACCCATTTATTTGGATTATTTTATATTTATTTTGTTGAGCAAAACCTATATATACCATCTCTTATTCATCTAAATCCATATACAGAGTAACACCATCTGCCTCATTGCCCCTGATACAAAGTGAGACACTTCATGATGACTCACTTTGACTTGCCAGATCTGTAATTCACCTTATATAACTAAATCATCTTTAAATTGACAGTTCTGTTCATAACATACATACACCTTCAAAAGTTCAATAGGAAAACATTTTGACAAAAAGGTGACTTTATTAATGCACTGTGAAGGGTAGAGAAGAGAAACCACTTGGCTGATCAAAATAAAAGATTTCTTAAAGTAATTGCAAATCCACTAAAAAGTTCCTTGTGACTGTTTTGACTACCTGGCAATGAAATTTGTTCTCTGTCACTTAATTATTGCTTTATGTTTAATTGATTTCAACATGCCCATGAAACCAAATAACTGCAATTCAATAAAATAATGATTTAAGACTTGCACGAGACAACACAAACTTTGAGACCAAAGCAGGCTGAAGTTTGTGAAAACTTGTGATGATGATAAACTTAAGACTATGATTTTGCAAGGTATGGTCTGTAGGCTGTACGAGGCTCTTAGAAAATGTAACAAACTAAGTGATGAAAATGAACTATGTAATACATTTAAGGTAATACGTTAATCAAGAATAATACCAGATGGATACTTTTCTATTCATAGGTTCAAAGAACATGAGTTTTAATAACACAAACAAAAGCCCAAACGCTGCAAATTGTTCTGACCCTGTTAAATCCATCTACCATCCTCATAAGCTTGAGATCCTCCAGTCTCCTACTCAAATTACAGTAGCGTAATTCTCCCAAGAATTTCTCCACCAAAATTCTGTATGTATTTATTGTATACTTCAACCTAGCTAAGGACTTAAAAAATTTCAAATATTAAAGTGACTTATTACAGTCATGATGGTTGCAGTATGACTCTGGCAGAGGCGAAGGTTTCATGCTTCTGTACCAAGCCTTATGGGTGCCCCACTCACGGCTATGGCAGACAGTGGCCAGGAAGGTAATCAAGTATACAAGTGAGCTAAACAGCATAATCTGTTATGAACAGAATATCAAGCTGATACCAACTGCCTGCAGATCGCTACAGTACCGACGTGTGTCAAGGTCCTCTGTTTCATCAGACAGCGTTTACTGCTCCTGTTTTCATACGTATCAACAATCAGTCTTGATACATTTTTGTATGATTTCTATAGGTAGCAGTGCTTTAGGATTGTCCTAATCTTTTTACTCCTATGAGCAGCTGATATTTACTCAGCTAATCAAGAAATTCCCTGCTTTCTGAAATGTGATAATTCATAAAGATAAAAGCACAGAATTGGATCCTACTCTAAGACTTCACATCCCATTCCTACAAGATCCATTTTAATATTATCCTGTCATTCCTGTGAAAACCTTCTATGCTGACACTTCCTTAGATGTTTTCTTAGCAAAATTATGTGGTATTTCTCATTTGCCTAGTGTACTACATGTCTCATCTATCAGATCTGCGTTAATATAATCGGTGTAGCAATATTACAAATTATGAATCTCCAGTAATTTGCTCACTGATCTCTCTTAGGTCAAAACAGATTCCTCCAGACTGTATTCTGAGAACTACTAATCTCTTTTATTCTCTTGGAGCAGTCATGTGCAATCTACGACACTTGGATTGTCTGTATTGAAGGATTCTGAGAGAAATCTGTCCCATTCAATTATGGACATCAATATTATAGACAAGCATGCTTACTAATTTCTGACAAACTTTATATGAACATCATGGAACTGGAGGTTATGAGTTGCTGTCACCAACAGAATGGTAACAGTGTTTTTAAGTATTTGGACAATATTTGTTAAGCAAATTTAAAGTGAAAGAAGATGATATGATGATTAAAATTATAAATAATTGTTAAGCTGGCATGGTATAAATACATCTTTGGGACTGGAACCTGCAGGGTCTAATCCGTTGAAACCATGCACTGTGTTAATGGCAAGTCCTTTTGAAGCCTGTGATAACATAACCTAGCAAGTCCTACATTCCTGTAGACGAGCGCGCTACAAAGGATCAGATTTATTATGCAGCAGCCCAGAGGATGAGAGAAGAGATCGTTCTCGAAACGTTGGCAGAATATATGGTTTATTCACCAATCGGCCACCTGAAGCGGCTTATAACCCGAGAGCCTTTCACCAATTCCTACGCGGCTTGTAGCACTGGCAAAAATTCATATGTAACTGCAAGAACTATAATATACGTAAACAGGAGCAGAGACCCTGGCCAGTGAAACATATCCCATTTACCAGTGTGGTAATCACCCTTACATATCCACCACAGCTTCCATTCTACATACAAAACAAACACATTCATTCATTTTTATCTCTCTTCCATATCATACTTCAATAACGTATCTTCATATTGTACATAAAAATTCACTCTGAAGCTTGAAAAAATATGTCACTTCTTCATATCCATACTTATTTTAAATCTAGTAACACTAATATATATACCTGGAGGTTATTCATTTACACGTCATGAGGAGTGTGTGAATGTGTGTGTGCATGCACAAGTGTCAATCATGTAAAACAGACTAGGAGGACGGGCATAACACATTTTTAATGTGTACATCCACTGATTAATGTACACTGAAGCAAAAGGAAGGGCGTGAGGTCTGAAACCCTTGCGAGATCTCATAACGTGATGAAATTTATTTCTACCTGATGTTGAATACCAACGATATATGATTCAAATTGGTAAGCGATAAATTAAAAGTTTATAATAAAAGAAATATTAGAAGAGATCCATTACATTCTTGCTTGATTTCCTTTGGTTTATTCCGCTTCACATGGGAAAAAAGTATGCAATATTCAGTCCGCGTACCTTGAAATAAATTAATTCGAGAGGATTTGTCAACATTTTTTGAATTGTGGACCTGTGATGCTGTAGTTGGTTTCTCTAGGACAAAAGTCTACAGACCTAATTATTTCTAGAACATCAAAAAATATTTACACACAGTATAAAAAATAATGCCCTTATGTGGTATTCCAACAAAAGACTTGTCATAATCAACCACACTGAACATCCATAATTACAAATTATATATAATCAGCCATAAACTTCCTACCTTGTCATATCAGTACATTTCATATTAATTCATGTATAATTCGTAATAGTAAATTTTCAGTGCCACTGTAAGATTTTGTGCAAAACAGTGCATTAATTTTCATAACAAATATAATATAATGGTCACTAGAATGCACAGACTGGCAGCTTGGAAACAACAGAATGCAACTAACATCATAGGACATGGTTAAGTGAAGAAACTGCAGTTGGTTTGAAGGTTATTTAACTAAACTGCATCACATATACAGGTTATTAAGCACTGAATAAAATGGGATACTCATAATGTACATTGAACTGAAAATCTTCATTGACACTACATCGCTTCTGCAGTTAATGATAAATTTGTTCTCAAGGTTGCTTTGGTAACCATTTTCAGTTTGTGAAAGTTTATTTTTGAGGTTTTACTTTTTTGTCTCAGATACAAGCTAATATTTTAAAACACATAACACCTATGTCAAAACAATAACCTAAAATCTGCAATGGCATTGGTCTCTTTGGAACCATCAGTTAATTTAAGAAATTTTCATGAAGTTCATCAGCAGACCTGAAATATCTGACACCTGTTTTTAATGGATTTAGTAAATATCCAAACATCACACAGAAACAGAGGTAGTGGTTCTCAAATAGACAACTAAAATTTCTGATTTTCATCAATGACAAACTTAAATTACTTAACCTTAAGTTCACAATATTATTATCCAATACAGGTTCTGACAGTATACCATATCGTACAAATATTTGCATAGAAATGTGGATTAATTTTTTGATGAAGCTTAATATTTATAATTATATGAAGAACTCAAAACGCAACTGAGGTACCATAATAATGGTCTCAAAAAAATCTAGGATTAGATAATGTGTAAAAAACATTTATATGAAGTATTACCACCTCTCCCCTATTATTAAGTCACAAAATTTTGTATTGCAAATTTTTGAAAATAATGTCGTGAATTATGTTAGTGCATGATAAATAATATGAATTGTGGCAGATATTATAACT